GCATATGATAAACCCATAAACCTTTTGCCGTTGTTTTGACTGGATAGTTGGACTGTTTGGAAACCACCCAAGCAATAAGTTCCTTTTCACCCCTAATAAAAAAGCTGTTGATTTAATCAATAATTCATTGACTTGAGCGGTCCAACCGTTTTTTTGACTTATTTTAATTTTATTTTTTACTTTTTAAAATTGCAATGGACCACTGGATTGGATCGGACGGTCAGACTAGAAAAATTAGGAACTGGTCAGGTGATCGATTTTGTTTTACCCTAGAACCGTTATTTTGCCAAAAACCGTTGATTTAGTCAGTAAACCACTAACCCAGTGGTCAAACCGTCCAACGGTTTTGATCATTTTTTATTTATTTTTATTTTTGTCAAAATGAGACATTCGTTCAGTTCAAACGATCAGACCATTCAACCCAAGAATTGGACCCCTAACTGATTCACTCTCTGGTTCAATTTTAAAAACCTTGCAATGGACCATCCATTGCATATAATGGCTTTAATACTTGATGGAATAAGACAACTCATCAAAGCTTGAAACTTGATGGATTAATGGAGTGAGTGATTTTTGAGGCCTAGTACTAGGAATGGGTAGGGGTGGCAATGTTCACCCTGACCCTTTTGACCCACCCAACCCACCCGCTTCAAAACCCACCCATACCCACCCATTTCAATAATGGGTTATATGGGTCAAGTGACCCATTAGGGTCAAGGAAAAGAGGGTCAGGGTGGGTTGGGTCGAGGGTACCCATTGGGTCAAAAAGGGTTAGGTCACTTGGGTAAGGAGAGGGTAAGACTGTAAGAGGAGAGGGTTGAGAGAGAGTTGCTGCAAGAGTTGAACTGTYGAACAAAGATCTCTAGGTTTTTCTCAGTTCTCAGTCGAACGAACTTCCACCATTGAAGATTAATCCATTATTTATGTTTCAGATATTTGCTCTTTGTTCCACTAGTCATTAGATCAAGTGCAAGATCGAAAGGTGGTAGGGTTTCAATCCATTCGCAGTTTTTTGTTCCGCCATTGAAGCAAGATTGTCCTCTCTGCCATTGAAACAAGTTTGTCCTCTTAGCTTCAATACCATTGTTTCTCAGAGTTCTCAAATCTCAAGTCACGTGTACATTAGAGTTTTGGATAGATAAATCTTTTGACATTGCTCAACCTTCACTGATTATCTGCCTTCCATAGTCATTTTGTTCAATCAAAATGTTGAACATGAAGCATGTTTGAAACTTATCCCTATTGCATATATTTTGCGCCAAAAGTGCCCAAAACATATATTTACTCTCCAGTGAATATAGAAAGATCCCCATTGGTTAGGTGGGATGATTCATGGCAAGTTGAGTCATGGGCTCATGGGGATCTCTCTATGTTGGACGACTGTTGGAAGAAAAAGATAAAACAGAGAAAAGAATGAAACGACTACAAGGTTGTCGGACTGGATCAATGAATGTCTCCCTTAACTTGGTGCTTGTAATGGAGCTTCATTTATTAAACATCGCAGATTTACAGTATAGTCTAATGCAAATCCACCCAATAAGTATGTCTTCAGTTTGTTCTTTTATCAAATATCTAATGGCCGCTTGTCTTCTCCTTATATCTCGTCTAGAGGTGATGGTTCTAATTAAGATGGGTTGACGTAAGCATCCATTCTTGATAACTTCATTTCTTTTATTTTGTTTAAGCTTGATGTTGACTTGTCTGAACTTAGATTTTGAGGCTGCCATGCGCCCATGCCCATTGAACATGGTCACTCTTTTATGACAATCTTATCTAATATCCAGCACTGAATCCCACATCAGTTCTGTAAATTTAAATTAAGGTCTATGGCATTAACTGATTGTTAATTAAATTGGAGCAATGGAGGTCACATCTTCTACTATGCTGCACAAGTCCAAGCTCATAACAGTTGTATTATTATAATTTATAGCCTCAAATCCGCTGTTCTAGTCAACCCATTGTGAGTCCTGTTTCTAAATATTAATTTCCCTAGTTGTTTATTCATTATAATATGGTTTGGTAAAGAAGTTTTCAATCAACACCATGGGATGGTCTCCAATGAATAAAGAATATTGGATAGAACAACAAAGTTTCAACAGAATGTTTGAGTTTAAACATGACTTCATTTATTAAGAATTATCTTCAGAACTTTAAAGAATATTGATAGAACTTCTCTGTGTTATCCAAATTAAATATTTGATACTAGAAACATTCATTTGGAATCATATTCTASTTAGCTGATTTTTGARCCTATCACTCTCCATTCTAGGAGGGTGGGACACCTGAGTAGTTTACCCCAGGTTGGAAAACATGGCAAGTTATATGACCCCAAACTATGTTAGAGGTCTTGTGTCTAAGTAGCTATGAAAAGTCCCTATTTGTCAATAATGACCCCTAATCACATTTCACAATGTGTCTAATCTTCCAAGCTCACTCTTTTGATTAAAATAACATTAACATTATACACCAGAACTGTCACACTTCAACAACTTCAGCTTTTTAACTACTCTGATACTTATGGTTTATAACTTTAATCCAGCACAGACATGACAAGACTTGATCATGCCCAATCTAGCTTCTAAAATAAACATTCCAAATATTTCATCAAAATCTCTATGTTCTTTTTAAATTAAATAAGGTATATTACTTTCCTTCTAGTTTTTCTTCTGTTAGAAATAGCAAGGCATGGGTTTTTGCTAGTATACTGTCACTAATTCAGAAAGTATTATTTAATAAAATGAACATTTTCACCAATCTGCTAGACCAACCCATAGTTTCCTGATTCAGCTTCCTGCTTGTGTGGTACTAATTGGGGTAAACCATGCACAAGCCATAATCTTTTATTTATTTTGTTTATAATTAAGGAACATGTTAATTACTTGCTTTTGCAAAATAGGAAAATAAGTAAGTTGGTTGAAAAAAAATGGATTTGAAACTTGTCTCTGTGTCCCTGTTCCACATTGCTTACTTGGTTTTAGTAGCAAAATGTTCAAGGTTACTGATCATAATAAGGCAAAGCTTTTCTGAACTTGGTGCTAAAGATATTGGGAATGTAGGATCTGATGACCATCTCAGTATTTACAGAATGAAAACTCAAATCAGTATTCTCTTGGTTGAAAGCAGATTTCACCCATCTGGAATTTTATATGCCTAGAAATTCATGTGATATTTAGCTAAAATGATTAAGTATATGTTTCAATTTCCTTAAAGCAACAAATTATTATTCCATCTAGGGGAGCATCCTTGAATTAGCAACAAACTATTGTAGGCATGGCCAAAGTATTGTTCCATGTCATACTCTAATATATAGCATCTATAGGAATGGTCAAATTATGTACTTAATTTTTTGCTCATGGCTAAATATAATGAATGTTACTTTTGTATTATTTCTCTTATTTCTCATACACTTACAATATGAAATATGTATTTTTTTTCCTCTTTGCCATACACCTAAATTGTATGTTTGCATGTTTTTTTCTAGATTTTGTTCAAAATTTCAGAAAGTTATACATTTTTTTTCTGATTTGTTCTGCAAAAGTTATACACTTTTTTTATAATTTTCTACTTTTTTTGCATTTTCTACAATTTTCTCCATTTTTCTGGTATTTTCGGCATTTTCTGCTATTTGTCTGCATATTTTTTTCAATATTCTGGTATTCTCTGCTATTTTCTACTATTTGTCTGAAATTTTCTGGTGTTTTCTGCATTTTCTGTAATTTTCTGGGTTTTTTTTTGCATTTTTTTCTATTTTTGGTATTTTCTGGTATTTTTTGTAATTTTCTGCAATTTCCTGTAATTTTCTGCAATTTTTTGGTAATTTTCTGCTACTTTCTTGTATTTTCTGTAATTTTCTTATATTTCTGGAATTTTCTGCTATTTTCTGCAACTTCTAGTATTTTCTGGTATTTTTCTGCAATTTTCTACAATTTTTTGGTATTTTCTGCATTTTCTGTTATTTCCTGGTATTTTCTGTAATTTCTGCTATTTTTCTATAATTTTCTGCTATTTTTCTATAATTTTCTGCTATTTTCTACTATTTTCCTGCATTTTCTACAATTCTCTGTTATTTTTTTTTTTGCAATTTTCTGCTATGTTTTGCTATTTTCTGAAATATTCTGCATTTTTCTACATTCTCTGCAATTGTCTACTACTTTCTGCATTTTCTGCAATTTTCTAGTATTTTTTGCAAATTTTGCAATTTTCTGCTATTTTTTTTGATTAATTTCTGTAATTTCTGGTATTTTCTGTTATTTTGGCTATATGAGTCAACCTGACTCGTTTATACCACGTGGCAATCTCAAGAGAGTTGTTTCTCTCAAAAAGTTGTTATTACGGGCGGACACGACCCGTTTCTACCATGTGGCATCATTTAGAGGTGTTTCATAAAAAATGTTATTTTTGGGGTACATGGGTCGATCCGACCCGTTTATACGACTTGACAATCTCGGGAGAGTTGATTCTCTAAAATTAGTGTTTAGGGTATACGAGTCGACCCGACCCATTTATGTATTTATATGCGATGTTAGGTGGTTAGTATGGGTGAAGGTGGGCAAGGGTCATATAAATGAGTCAAGTGGGTTAATATAGGTCAGGGTTAGGGTGGGTTATGACCCTTTAACAATCATTGATGATGGGTCTTGGTAGGTTAGTGGGTCAGGATGGGTGAATTGGTATTCAACCCTCAACCCAACTCAACCCAACCCACCCATTTTCCACCCCTAGGAATGGGAACAATTCTAGAGAAAGAACAAGAAATGGGTGTTCATTTAAATTTGGAAATGGAGGAATTTAGCAATCAAGGAAGGACGACTGTCCCCCAGGTGATGTAGATGCTTGATACATCAGTATTCCTACTTGAAAGCAACAGAATTTTGAATTTCAGGTTCAGGCTCTCAGTCATTCAGCTGGTGTGGTGGTGAAAATTTGAGGGGCACGTCCAAAAAGCACAGCCATCAAGGAAAACCAAGAGCAAATTAAACCGGGAATTTCCATCATTAATAATAATATTATTAACTAGTGTTCTATATTGATAATTGATGATCTTACAACCTGTGGACATAATGAGATTGTCCAACTTATTCAATCCACTCCCCACATTGAAAAAAGAAGAAAGAAAAAAAAAACTACTAAATTTCTCTCCCCCCACCCCATTATTAAATATATGGCTAGCTATTAATTCTATAATAATAGTAGTAATTCTTAATATTTCTAGGCTTTAGTATATACCCCAAGAATACCTAGAACAGAAGCTAACAACCACACCAACAATTCTTCAGAGACTAAGATATTGATCTTCAATTCTTTGTTGTTTCGTTTTCATTTTTTTTTCTCTTTTCTATTTTTCTTCTCTGAAAAAATAGTTTATTTGAAGTTTTTTGTACAGACAAACCAATATTGTTGATATTCTTTAATTCCTTCATTCCTATATAGCTCTACTAATTCTAACAGACAATTAATTAATGCATTGATATTTATGCTTCAAAATGGCCTTTTCAGATCCTTGAAATCAGTTGAATCAATACATTCCAGCTTCCCTCTGTAAAGATTCAACAGTTTCAGCAGTTCGGTTGCTTTCTCCTTTGTTCCCTCACCACATCCAACCTGCAACAGCAACAGTAGCTTCTGAAATGCACCCACTTGAAGAGCCTCAATCACAATGCTTCCCTCATCCGGATTCCTATTCTTGCAGAGCTTCCAGAGAATGGAGACTGAGAACTCGGTAGCCAGATCTGATATGCGTAAAATCTTCTTAACTAGGACAGGCATAGTTAGAGCATTGCTGTAGGCCTTCTCTCTTGCTTCTTGGCAGCTGCACAAGCCATCCAGAACGCCCAAAGCTTTCTCACAGAGGCTCTTATCGGAGTCGACCAGGATGTCCAGAAGCAATGAAACCAGCCCCATCTCCACAAACCCTGATTTAATTCTGTCGCTGCTGGAAAGGTTTGATGGTGAAACCATTTGAAAGATGGCAACCAAGGAGGCTTTTGTGGCTGTAGGACAGATAGGTTCCTTGATCAGCTTAACCAGAGCTTGGTTCGCCCCTTCAATCTCCGCCAAGAGACTAACATGCTTTTGATCCGAAGAGAGAAGCTCTTTCAGTACCAGAACTGCGTTCTGCCTCCCGGAGAGGCTGCCGGAGTTTAAAAACCAGACCATGCAACGTAGAGACGCCGGAGATGCTAAGTAAGATTGGGCTTCTGAATCCAGTGGCAACATCCACGGCATTGCAGATAGTATCTTCTCCAGAGCAGCGACGTTCTTCTCGAATGAAGCTGCGGCAAAAGCATCGAATGCTGCCGCCAGAACACGCCCTGCCCCGTTCCCGACGATGCAGCGCTTGTTGCGCTCGTTCTCCTTCCCCAGTCTTTTGATCTTCGCCACCAATTCTCCGCACCCAGATTGATCCCCACGCCAAGCTGCATCCGTAATCCTCGAAAGAAGCTCCAGTACCTCAACTGGGGTGACAGGAATTCGCGGCGTCGGGATCCTCTCAATGCCTAAAGACCGATTCTTGACGCACCAGTCCTGTATCATCTTCCGTATGGCGTGATTCGGGGTCGGCTCAAAGCTCGTCAACACCTTGTTCGTAACTGGGCACGTCTGGTTTCCAGACTCGATCCACCTCTCGATGCTCTCACGATCGTAAGTTATCCCGGTGGACAAAGTCACCGGGTCTTTCATCAGCTCAAGAGATATGGGGCAACGGAAATGCGTCGGGATAGTCACCTCCATGTCCAGTTGGCCGCCCGGCTGCTTCTGGGTCTTGCCGGCACGACGGCTGGCTCTTCTCTTTCTCCAGTTGGAAATCATCTGTATCAATTGTTAAAAACTTCAAAGCTGCAAACAGAGAGAAGAATGATGAACCATAGATGTTTCTTGTGAAGAGGAAGGAATCCCGTGGGCATCTATTTATATAGGTTGAAACGCGTTCACCAAATGTTTTAAACAAAGAAATTAATCGAAAATAAAACACAAGGAACCGTTCAAACTGGAGTTTCAGAGAGAGAGAGAGAGGGAAAATATTGAAATGGAAGGTCTGTTCTGTGAGGGATTTGAATATTGACCGTTGAAAGTTTGAAAGCGAAGAACAGACTCACCGAGAGACCGTTAAAAAGAGTGGGAGGATTGAGAAACGGTAATAGATGGAACAGTAGCTCTGATGAAATATTGAAATTATGAGCTGGGATTTGAATGGTTGACGTGCTGACCGTTGCCCGTCAACCGGGGGGGCGACTGACCCGGCTTTGCCCGGGTTTTCATTCCCGGTGGCAACACGGACGTAACGCGTGGCTACCATGATAATCATCATGGAAACGGGTCGGGTTGAGAACCGAGGTGACCAGGTCGTTGATTAGGTGGAGGCGTGTGAAGTGCTAAATGCGGTGTAATTAATAGACAGACCGAGTCAGCTCAGCTGGGGAGTAGGGGCCGGGGGGAATTGCTGGTCGGGTTTTCAATGATATTCTGTTGGATCGGGTTCAGTAATTCAGTGCTGGACGCTTTTGTCACTTGTCAAATGCTCTGAGTCTTGAGGCTTGAGCTGTTTTAAGCCAAAGCGGAAAGGCTGAACGTAATTATCGCTAGACGCATGAACCCGTCTACTAGGTACTGATAACTTACTCCGTACGACCTGCGAAGGGACTTGTTTGGTTACAAATTTTATGCAACACTGTTTTAAAAACCGACCTAATAACGGGATCATTGTTTAGATGGTCAGGTTGGCCAGTAATTCAGCCGCGTAGACCAATTCGTGATGTTATAAATAAAAGAATAATAAAATAAAAATGTAAAATTTCTATAATAAAAAAAGTTGAACATATATCTAATATTAAATAGGATTCAACTATGATACCGGGAAGACATGAAAGAGGTGACCAATCAAGTGATTTTCATCAAAATTTATGGGGTAATCAAAGCTCTTCTAATATTATATCTTTTCGGTATCATAATTTTTTTATTAAATATTTTTCATATTAAATATAATTAAGTGTATATATAAGAATTTTTGTTATAGGTAATGGTAATTAAAGTTTTAAAAACTGGACCGGACATGAAATCATTTTGGAACTAGTTTTTGGGTCAAACAGTCCAATCATTCGGTTCGAGTGAATGGCCCGTTCTAATTAAAAAAATAACAAAATTACAATAAAAAAACAGTTGTCCAGATCAATGGGTTGATGGTTCGACCATCTGGGTCAACGAATTATTGGCCAAATCAATAGTTTTTTTTCTTATTTTTATTCAAGAGCAGTTTTATGGTGAAACAAAACCGGTTGCCTGATTAATTCCAATCAATCAATCCGACTATCCAGTCGAGTCCAGTTTTCAAAACTATGATATCATAAAATTATAAAAAAGACAAAAAAAGAATTGATGCATGATTTGTAACTACCTGGTAGGGTTAAATGATTCAATGATTCAACTGTTTGGGTTAATAGGTCATTGACCAAGCCAAAATGGACTGGAAACATGGTTGGATGATGGGTTGACCAGTTCAACTGATCGGCTCGGCCAAAGTTTGAAAGTAGCAGAATTAAAAAGTATGGGTTGACCAGTTCAACTGATCGGCTCGGCCAAAGTTTGGAAGTAGCAGAATTAAAAGTACATAGCTTTTGAAACCAGGACCGCTTTTGTGGTTCATTTAAAGTTGAAACCAGGAACTTGAGAGGTTGAACTAGACAACCATGACCATGGCGTTTCTGATTTGATGCAGTTTTTAAAACACTGGTTCATTCGAACAAACAAATGATCAAAACAAAAAACAATTGTCACATCATAAAAAAATGCAATAAGTGTATTAATTTCGATTTGAAAAACACAAATCATACACATCCACAAACACTCCCTAAGATTAAATTATACCAAAAGCACATGCTTCCAAATTCCAAACTTGACTTGGCACATGCAATATTTTTCAGGGCATGCCTCTCACATGCTATATTTAAATGTTCTTCAATTTTGCTTTATAACCAATCACATCATAACTTTTTTACTTTTGCTTTTGGTATTACATAATACACATTGCAGGGGAATGAGGAGTATGGGTCATAGCAGGATGCACGTGCATAGAATGCCTACAGTTCTGTGGGTTTGATTTCATGCCGATTACTGAAAAAAAAAAAATTCGCTGCTCACTCTGAATAAGAATTCCAGCGGAATATGATGCCATTTCATAAAACCAAAATAAACGTTTTAGTTGAATTTTTTGAAGGGAAAATTTATGATGCCGAAAAACATGATGTCGAAAAGGTTTTGACCAATCAAAACTCTTCATGAATTCTGATTAGAACTGAGTTGATTGATTGCCACTTTTATGATATCAGTTGATTGGTTATAAGTCTTTCCATTATCATATCTTTTTAGCATCATAGTTTAATCATTTTTATTTTAATTAAAAATTAGGGTAAATACAAAAACCTCCACTGAAGTTTATGACAATCATAAAATCATCCCTTATAGTTTCATTTTAACAAATAGCTCCTCTAAACTTTTGAGAAATTCAACAAAAACTTTCCTTTTGTTATCTTCTTTGACGGAAAATGTTAGACTGATGCACCAGTTTTTTTTTTTTTCAAATACCCATTCTACCCTTTTATAAAGTATTTTACATACAAAATTACTGAAATAACCTTGTTTTAACTTGACAAAAACGTTATAAAATAACTATTAAAGGAGGTTTTTGTCAAGTTAAAATAAGGTTATTTCAATAATTTTGTATGTAAAATAATTTATTAAAGAGTAGAATGTGCATTTAGAAAAAACTGGTGCATCAATCTAACGATTTCTGTTTGGGAAGGCGACAAAAAGAAGATTTTTGTTGAATTTCTCAAAAGTTCAAGAAAGGTATTTATTAAAATAAAACTATAAGAGAGGTTTTTATTATTATTGTCAGAAACTTCAGAGGAGGAATCGTTAATGTCTTACATGTGTTGGGTTCATTGTGGGTTTTTCCTTGACCCTAACCAAACAGAATGTAGGGTAGGTTCATTGAATTGAAGCAGAATCCGACTAGGACTACCCCAGCAAATTAAACCAACTGGATACACCAAACTTGACTAAATAGGGTCTGATTAGGGCAGGTTCATTGTCAAACACAACTCATTGACATTTTTTACCGTAATCAGGGGAAGAGATTTGCTTAATTGACTTTATTTGCCGAAAGTGCTTTTTTATTCTATATGAATACAATGAATTGCGTATTTTATTGGTGGTATACAAAAACTTTTTTGATATGAACCAATCAATATGTCTTTATATGTATTGGTCATTTGGTTGATACTAATGTTTTCAACCCGTTGATGATCCAGCCGGTTCAATCATTCGACCCGTGATATAGTCATAATTCTGGTTTGAGTTAAAGTTAGAATCCACTATTCTCTTAAAAATTGTTGACTTGATCAGCAATCTCCAAAGACCATAACTTTGCATTTTTTTTTTGATATTTTGGATAATTTTTCACAACCTATGCAATGTAAGGAGGGGAAAAATGCTTTGACCCACTTTTTGGCCTTAGAGTCTCGATTTTTTAATTTTCTTAATTTATAACAATTATAAATTATGCCTAAAATAAGATATACATATATTATATGCAGAACATAATTATATATGTATTTGTGTTATATATTATATATGACATCATGGGTCACCTTAGATGGTTAAACCTCTGACCTGCAACCCGGAGGGAAAAAGCAGATCAGCCTTTGGGTTTTTAAAAGGGTTTCTAGCAGAAAAGGGCAACTTTTTGCCCTGAATATCAATAAAAGATAATAGTTTTATAAAATAATCAAAGTAAAGTAACTTCTTTTGAAAAATATCAAGGAAGGGCAATGACACTGTTCTTTATCTTCATCTTCCTCTGCCTATGTGATTATTTTGAAAAATATCACCGAAGCTTCAAAAGTTTCAGGCCTCTTCTCTCTCTTATGAAGCTTCAAAAGTTTCATAAAGATCCAGGAAGCTTCGAATTCTCAAATGTCCCACATTGGGTTTGAGGTCATCTCGAGCGGGTCTCCGTCTCACATGGTGTTGGGTGCTGAAGCTTCCTGATTCATAAAGATCTCGCGTGCTGAAGCTTCCTGATTCATGGCAAAAAATTGCCCTTATCTGCAAGAAACCCTTTTTAAAACACTGTGTGATGGGGAACAATACATATTTGGCACATGGCACATTAAGTATGTATTATACCGTTTTTAATCTCTGTTCTAAATATAAAATATGTCATTAAATTCTCATTCACAATATTAAGGCCCTTTTAAGTCTCATAATTTAAATTCAAAATCACTGCTGTACTATAAAAAATGTATTCAATTGGCAAGAGTGAAATCCAGGTTGCCCACATGATCAGACTAAATTTTTTTTTATTATTCTGTACTACAACCTACTAGGATGATACGTGTTTTAAGTCACCTTTATGGACCTTCTCTTAATAAATACCTTTTCAACCAGAAAATTAGAAGGGAAACAATTAATGATATTAAATAAAGTATACAATACATGCACATTTTAGTTCTCCTACCATTTGCCAATATTTCCCAAGTGTATCATGATAGTTCATACTTCACATAGACCATTAAAATGTGTTTCTTAATCTTTTTTATGGTCATTTGAGCCATCATATATTAATTATTTCATTATGTTCATACATTTTGTCATTTTCGATATTTCTCTTAAAATTGTCTTTAAGATATTCTTTGCAATACGAATATTTTGAATCTAGAATTTTACAAGATCGATCTATCCTCCAAATGCTATAAATAGAAGAAAAAAATGTGTAATTTTTTATTTTTTTATTTTTTATTTTTGGTGGAGAATTTATTCATCCTTGATACAATTCTGGTTACATGTCCAAACACTACAGTTGTTTTTGGCACAACTTATCCATAGCACATTATGGTG